CACAGATGAACTCCTCACATTTATTAAAAGCTTAAAACCATCGAAAGCATCTGGTACTGATGATATACCAATCGATTTCCTAAAAAAGTATCCCGGATCTTATTCAAAACCCTTAACCTATTTGATAAACAAGTCATTTGAGAATGGAATATTTCCGGATTACCCATGCCCTCCTGTTAACTATGCTTTCTGCTATTGGTTTCACTTTTTCTTGTGTATCTTCCAGTCCTACCTTTCCTATCGGTCTTTACGTGTCCGCGTGGAATCTGTACTCTCTTCTCCTGTTGACATCAAGTGTGGAGTTCCCCAGGGCAGTGTGCTGGGTCCTTTGCTCTTCTCAATTTTTATAAATAGTATTAGTGATGGTATCTCGTGTAACTATCATTTGTATGTAGATGACCTTCAACTTTATATTTCGTCAACTGTTAACAACCTCCCGGATGCTTTGTTACATCTTAACAACGATCTCTCTAGCGTACTTGACTGGTCTAGACGTCATGGACTTTACCTGAATCCAGGTAAAACACAAGCCATTGCATTTGGCATTCGCCCCTTGCTGGCACAATTTAATTCCTTATCTACCCTTCAACTGAGGCTTGGCGACACCGTTATTCCGTTTTCTAATACGGTCAAAACTCTTGGTGTGGTAATGGATTCGGTGATGTCTTGGCGGCCACAAGTTCAGGGAGTCTGTAGGAGAGCTTACTTCTATTTCCATACTTTGAAAAAACTTCGCTGCTACCTTCCTCCTGTTATCCGTCGTAATCTTTGTTATTCTCTCATATTCTCACACATTGATTATACCGATGCTGCGAAACCTGATCTTTCCGCAGCCCTTCGGGGTAAATTGGAAAGACTGCAGAACAATTGTATCCAGTACATTTTTGATTTAGGAAGGTTTCAGCACATTACTCCATATCGTAACAACCTACAGATGATGACTTGCCGGAGTCGTAGATCATTTCGTATGCTTATTATGTTGTACAAAATTGTCCATACCCGCACTCCTGCTTATTTGTCTGATTCCTTTCACATTCTAGCATCACATGACTTGCCCACTCGATCAATGTCCGAATCTACGCTAATGTTTCCAGTCCATAGTACTGAAATCTACCACAGATCTTTTACAGTGCAGTCGATTGCGTTGTGGAACGATTTGCCTGCCCTTGTTCGCAATGCAGCTAGCTTAATAAGTTTTAAAAATGCCTTGAGGCGCCATCTGCTATCTCTTCAACTATCTTCTTCTTGATGATTGCGTGTTTGTTTTCTTCTCTAGTCTGCCTTTCATCTATCTTTTGCTGTGTGAATCGACTTTTTTGTGTCTATTTTCTTTCTTGTAGTAACTGACTGTCGATCCGTAATATAATTCAAGTATGCTCATTCGCTCAGTTTTATTAGCACATCATTTAGCATTACTTTTTCGGTAGCCATAATTATTTAGTTAAAATTACATATACACTGTTACCAGTTGGGTCTCTTGGAAGATATCGCTTATTGCGATAAATTGATCCGTTTGTCTTGATGTTTATATTTGTTTGAATGTATATATTTATGTAAATATTTGTTTTTTGAGGCAATAAACATTATTATTATTATTATTAAAATAACAAACTTACAAACTACTCTAACAATGGCTGCGTACATATTGATTGTCTTTGTTTTTCTTGTTCTGTCTACCGCCCTCTATGCTTAACCCTCTACATTTATATCCATTGCCTAGTGACTTAACGTATCTAACATCTCTCTTCCTTAATAATACAAGACTAAGTAATGTAACTAAAACTAAATTAATCAGTTAGAATAAAATGATCGTATACAAAGTGATATCTTTTTTTTTTGTCTTGACCGGTTTCGGTAATTAAATTACCATCTTCAGAAGACACCTACATATTAAAAGGTTTACACGTTAAAATAGAAAATTCCTTATTTAGTTTGTAACTTACGTCAAATTATTACTTAAAAGTTAAAACAAATACCACACATCTTTATACGAACACAATAATTTAACATCTCATTTCTTAAAATAAAATAACACAAGTGCTATTTCGAGAATATATCAACTTGTTTTTCAAGTAGAATATAGAAAAGGAAGGGTAGTGTTAAAGATTTTTGAACGGATCTTTTAAATTATTATATAATGGAGGAATATAAGTTTTTTCAATTTGTATGATATTGTACCTGGGTAAGTTATTGTTTTGAATTTATTTGGTTTGTTAATATCTATTGTTGTTTCTAATGATGAAATTTGTTTTAAATTCATTTTACAATGTTTCTTGTCTATAATTTTTTGTACTGTATTTCCGGGGTAATTATTATTTTTTGCTATTATTTGTATTATTGATATTTCTTTTTCAAAATTACTCTGATCTAATTCTGAATTAAATGCTCGGTGTATATATGATCTTAATGCTGCTAATTTTTGTGTATAATCGTGGTATGAATCATGCGGAATAATTTTGCTGTTCTGTGTCGGTTTTCGGTAAATATCGGTATCTTCTTTGTTAATTCTTGATATAAAAAGTACTTGTAATAATAATAATTTCAAAACTAGAATCAAAGAACATCTAATAAAAGAAAATTCGGCATTCCGAAGACACATACATTTTAATAATCACGATTTCGATATAGAGAAAAATACAAAAATTTTACACAAGAGGAATAAAGGTTATGTATTAGAAATATTGGAAATGTACGAGATAGCTAAGTTTAAAAATCAGAATCCTGACAAAATAGCATTAAACGAACAAATAAATCACATTATTCCTCCATTATATAGTAATTTAAAAGATCCTTTCAAAAATCTTTAATACTACCCTTCCTTTTCTATATTCTACTTGAAAAATAAGTTTATATATTCTCGAAATAGTACTTGTGTTATTTTATTTTAAGAAATGAGATGTTAAATTATTGTGTTCGTATAAAGATGTGTGGTATTTGTTTTAACTTTTAAGTAATAATTTGACGTAAGTTACAAACTAAATAAGAAATTTTCTATTTTAACGTGTAAACCTTTTAATATATAGGTGTCTTCTGAAGATGGTAATTTAATTACCGAAACCGGTCAAGACAAAAATAAAATAAAAAAGATATTGTATACGATCATTTTATTCTAAATAATTAAATAAGTGATAATGAATGAAAACATAATTAAATAAATTAATCATGGTAATAACAAATGCACAACGATTTAATACAAATATTAATCTTTAAACTTATTAAGTAGTTTTACATTTCTACGTACTCTTTCGTTCATTTCGCCTGATATAGGAACATTTTCTAAATTTGATTCAGATTCAACAGTTTCATTTTGTGGTTTGGGTTCAGCCTGCGCTACAGTCCTATCCGGTTGTTCATGTTCTATACTATAATAATCTATTTCTGAATTTAACTCTTCATGTTCTCTAACATTCTGGCCATATTTTCTTAATTGATCTACATGTCTCTTCCATATTTTATTGTTAACTAGTTCGATTTTATAATGCAATTTTCCAGTTTTGTATAAAATTTTCCTAGTATCCATTTTCTTTTTCCTGTGTAATTCCTACATAACACTTTTTCCCCTTCTGAGAAAATTCGAATCTTCTTATTGTCATTTACCCTTATCTTCGGTTTCTCTTCAGGTAGTATCAAATCCAATTTAGTTCTAATTCGTCTTCCGAACATCAATACTAAAGGTGATTCTTTCGTTTGTTGATGTGGCATGATTCTGTATTGTAGTAATAATTGATTCAATTTCATTTGTAGACTTTCATTGGTTGCATTTAAATTTTTTAAACCTTTCTTTAACGTTTGTACAAATCTTTCCACCTGTCCGTTTGTTGACGGATGGTAAGGTGCTGTGAATTTTGAAATAATTCCATTCTGTTTCAAAAAATTCTGAAAATCCAGTGAATGAAATGTGGTTCCAATATCTGAAACTATAACCTTCGGTAATCCCAACATTGAAAAGATCTTCCTATATGTTTTAATTGTTGATTCCGTCTTGATATTGTTCATAACATACACAAACGGGTATTTTGAAAACGCATCAACCAAAAGAAAGAAATATTTCCCCATGAATGTACCAGCAAAATCAATATGAACTCTTTGAAAAGGTTTATTTGCCGATTCCCATACATGAACTTCTACCTTAGATGAATTATTCCTCGTTAAACTACAATTTGTACAATCCTTAACCAACTCTTCTATAGTATTTGAATCAATATTTGGCCACCAACAAATCCCTCGTGCCAATTCCTTCATTTTTACAACTCCGAAATGACCCTCATGCAATTCTTTTAATATTTTCACTACCCTATGAATAACTACTAAATTAAATTCATGTTGATTTATATGAAATCTATCATTTTCTGGAATCTCCTGACCACTTTGTAAATTTTTATAATTTTTTGTAATTGACTTGAATCTTTCTTAGTTTCATAAACAATTTGTTTATTTATATAACTTGTTTACAACTTGTTCTAATGTGACCGGAAACGTTTCTATTCTAACGATAAGCAGTATACAATACAACGATCCAGACACCGGATAGTCCCGCACAGGATATGATGAGATAAAAGAAATATTAAAGAAATATAATGCTATCTGGGTACCTGGGATGTTGAATGGATGATAGTAAACCTGACAGTAAATGAATCTATACTACATTGTTTTCGAAATGTTGGAAATATGTATCAGTCAAAAGTAACTGATAAACTAATTGTAATTGTTGGGAAATAAAGTGTAAAGACCACGTTGATTTTTAGGCACACAGCTATATCAAGTCGGCTTAATGAGAACAGTAACACCCCGTTGTCGCGAAGTTTTTGGTTCTTATTCTTCTGTGGTTCAGTCTGTTTCGTCAGCTCGTTTTCAATCTGACTTCGTCCCTTCACGCCTGCACAGCCTACACCCATTTTGCTCTCACTATTTGTAGACATCCTTTCCACTCTGTGTTTCCAGTGCCTGTTTTAATTTTGTTGTTTTTTTTAATTTGGACAAGTTTCTCGGCATCTATTTGTTGGAAATTGTTATCTCGCTGTCCTTTTCACTCCTACTCATCGTTATGTTATCTACTGCTTGTTCCTCAGTGCCAACACCAACTTCTTTTGCCTTTAACCTTTAACTACTCGCGCACCTTTTTTTTACGCTGCTACTCGCGCGGTGTATTTTGTACACCACTGCACATTATGGTGTATATGCTGTGTAACTGCTCAATATTTAAGTTCATATTTATTTGCAAAAAACAGTAATTAAACCCAAAAAAATTATTAAAAAAAAAATAAAAAAAAAAGATATTCTGAAAACACAAAAAAAATTTGCCTATTCACTACTAGATCCGCCTTCCTTACACTTTTGGCATGTAATTACGTTTACACTATGTTCCTTACATACTAATTGGTGACAAGTGCTGCATGTAATTGTAGTCACTCTGTTCTTTTTTCTACCGTAGATGAATCATCTTCCTCTATATTTTCTCGGTGGCTCTTCGTCTGTGTCTGCTTGAGCTTCTTTATATCTGGATAGAAAATGTCTGATATCTATGGGTAGAGTAGATATTGCAGTTCTTTCAGAAAGATGAGTTTTCATCAGCGACAGAGATAGGGTTTTTAGGAAATTTATCCCGTTTATTTTTTTTTAGGGTTCCAATAAATGTTATTTTGTCTTGTAACAGTTCCAATGCCAAAGGGTAACTTGAATACCAATTATCGCAGGTTAAATTATTTTTTCTTCCTTTCTGTTCTTCCAGCAAGCGGTGAACTATGGCAGTTGGTGTGTTTGATTGGTTGTATGGTCCGTCTGCTTGTTTTCCACAGTACAGCTCCAGATTACTCACGTAAAATGTTTGTGCGTCACAAAGCACAAACACCTTCAAACCATATTTAGCAGGTTTGTTTGGTATGTACTGTACAAAGCTGCACCTCCCTCTAAACGCAATCAACATTTCGTCTATTGTCATAAATTCACCCACAGAGTAGTTTTTTTGCAATTATTCACAAATTTGTCCAAAATATACCGCACTGCTGCCAACTTATCTGTTTGTCTTCTTTCATGCCTTGTTATTTTGTTATCAAATCCAATGTTTGCAAGCAAAAAAAGAAACCTTTGATAACTCATGCATGCTCGAAATATTTCTGATCCCGTTCCATCTTTTGTCCATAACTCCAAAAAATGAGTGTGGTTTTGCTTCTTAGCTCCAGATAAAAACAATAAGCCTATAAAAGCTAGCATTTCCGATTTTGTAACGTCCTTTGCGTCTCGTACTCGATCAAAGTTTGGTCGAACTCTTGAAATTTCCAAATTAGTACACTGAATAATATGTTCAACCCTTTCATCATTGAACATTTTTGTGAAAGCACTTATCTCATCGGTTATATCCCTTGCGCATTGTTTTGGTCCTGGTAGTATTTTTATTATATTTTTGCTTCTGGGCTTAGTAGATTTACTCGTAGGGTAGCTTTTATACCAAATAGTTTTTTATCTTTGCCAACATACTGTCCTTCAATAGCCACTAATACTGAGAGAGGAACATCGTTAGAATCAGAATATTTTATGAAAATCTTTATCAAATAAACTAGAAGGTTTGCAAATGTCTTAAACAGCCACAAAATCGATATAGTTGGTCTGACGGAGCATTGGCTTTAGAGAGACGAAACTATTAAGATAATGTTAAAATATTTTAAAGTGACATCATGTTTTTACAAACAGAATTTGCAACATGGATGCGTGATGACTCTGGTACGGGATGAAGTAATGAACGAAAATGAGCTGATATCAAAACTTTTGCTATTCGGAGGCATTTTGAAATTCTTCCTTCAGAACTTCTTCTTTCCTATTATAGATCGCCATTGGGTGATTTTAATGTTTTCCTAGTGCAGCTTGAAAGATAAATGGACAATTTAGATAACGAATTATTGGCGAAGCAACTATATCTAATGGGCGATTTCAATATTAACTTTAGAGAAAAAAATAATAAGACGGAAATGACTAGATTCATTGAATACATTTTATATCAATAGATTGTTTGATCAAACTTCTCGAATTGGAGCCTACGTCACATATATTCACAATGTATTGACGACTGCTAGTCATCAGCAGCTTAAAACAGGTGCCATGAAGTTTCCATTCATCAGATCACCTTGGACAAGTGGTCAGCCTGAAAGAACCGGTACAGGGAAGGACTGAAATGAGAGATATTAGGAAAATACTCATATACAGGGTGTCACACGAAAACACCCCAACCTGTAACTCTGTTATTTACATTCCGATTTTCATGACCCAGGTACCAAATGAAATGGTTTTATAAATACTATGATTCATGCTGCAAATAAACTTTTTCCAACGCCATCTTCAAGTTCAAGCGATTATCTACTTTTGATTTTCAAATTGCTCGGTATGTTTTTCTTCACGCTATTGGATAGAGCTTCTTTTTCTGAACCCATTAATGTACAACAATACATCAACATTAATTGTAATTGTGGCATAGAAAAATATTAAAATAGTTTCCTAACATTCTCTTAAAGTTACTTGTGTTATATTGTAGTGTGCCATGGGAAAAAATAAAAAAACAACTTATAAGTATCATTTACAACTGCTTCGGGCATTGAAATAACATTTAATGACTGTTATCAGTTTTGCGCGTTATTTTTTTCCAACACACACTACAGTATTACAGAAGTGACTAACAAGTGTGTAAGACAATGTTCGGAAAACGTTTTAAGTATTTTTCTCTACTAAAATTACAATCAATGTTAATGCATTGTACATCATTGGGTTCAGCAAGAAAATCTCTATCCAATAACGTGAAGAAAAACATACCGAGCTAATTGATATTGATAATCGCTTGAAATTGAAGATGACATTAGAAAAAGTTTATTTGTAGCATGAATCATAGCATTCATCAAACCATTTCATTTGATACCTCGTTCATGAGAATCGGAAGGTAAATGACAGAGTTACAGCTTGCGGCGTTCTTATGTCGCAAGGCGACATTGCGACATTGATGAAAGAAGTCTGGCGGCGGGGACATAAACTGGGAAGGAACGAGTAGTGGGATATGGAATACAGAGAAGTGACGAGGGAAGCTAGAAGGAGACTGAGACAGTGGTAGCGAAGGAAGGTAGGGATAGATAGATACACAGAGGCTAGGAGAAGATACAAAAAAATGCAAGAAAAAGAAGAGGGAGGCTGAGAAAATTAGGGAGTTGAAAGAAGAAAATGATGTATGCAGATACTTAAAGAAGATGAGGAAGGGAAGAGAGGAAGTCAGTAGAGATATACAAATGACGGAACGGAGAACCTATTTTATGGGATTGTTGGAAGGGGAGGAAGAGAGAAGAATGGAAGAGGGAGAGCTGGGGGTGCAGGGGGGAGAGTAGATAACACATATGGAGAGGGGAGGGGTTTCCGGACAGGTGGAGGATGGGGATAATATGCCCACTGTATAAAAAGTGGAGTAAAGTGTTCGTGGACAATTACAGAGGGATCACCCTGTTGGACACAACATTTAAAATATAACCCAAGGTACTGCTGGGGAGATTGAAAAAGGAAATGGAGATAGAGGAAATGTTGCCGTATTGTCTGGGCGGGTTGGGTTCGGGACGGGGGGCGGTTGACTTTATATTCTTTCTGTACTGTCTGGTCTCTCGGGTGTTGAGTTGGACAGTAGGGTAGGTGTGTTGTTTGTTTTTTTTCTTGGCCTGGCGGCATTTGATAAGGTGGATAGAGTGAAGGTGTGGGAGGAAATGAGGAGGAGAGCTATCACAGAACAGCTGATAGAGAGATTGAAGGAGACGATGGCCAAGTTTAAAGTGATAACCTTAAGGTTAAAAGGAGACGAAGGTGTTAGGGATATTTTGTGTGCGTGAGAATTTGGGTTGGTAGTGCGGAGCGTAGTGTGGCGGTGGCAGTAATTCCCGGGCGTTCGGAGAAGTTTCGAGACGTTAGAAAACGAACAGGTTTGAATAAGATTGAGAGAGTCGGTTACGGGAGACCGTGCGCGGTGAATGTGGAAAAACGTGTATCGGAAGTAAAAGGCTTGAATACGGACTAAAACCGGGGTGATTTGACGAAATACGAGGACTAAACTAAGTTAGGCTAATGTATTGTTGAAGACTCATTACACTTTTTATTTTAGTTAAATTTACGTGAGTGTATTTACTTTAAAGGGATTGAGACAAGGGTGCCTGCTTAGTCCCACATGATTTGCGATGTATACGAAACTTGGGAGAGGGCAGATGGGTGGGATGGTGATAGGAGGAACG